CTCCAAACTCACATCCAACCCCATGGAACTCCCCAGTGCCACAATTGATATAACAACAGACATAGGCTCATCAGGGTCAGTCCCAAACCCTTCAAAATCCCTCTTGTTGACACAATCTGGCCACAATTTTCTCCAAGCAGAGTTCAAAGTCCTGGTAGCCACTCCCTCCCAAGCCATACCTATAAGGGCTATGCAATGGAGGATGCTGAAGTGTTCTCTCCAAAATTCCCTTAGGGTCAAGTGAGTGTCTGTGGTCACAGTCAAGCACCTGTGAAACATTGCTTTGGTGTAGAGTTTTTTAAAGTTTGCAATGACCTGCTGGAGGAGAGGAGTGGTATTCGGGGGCAAGAACTTTACTGTGATGAACCCAAACCCCTTCAGAATTAGGTCATCCAAGTTTGGATGATCCAATTTCTTTTCCAGGAGGTAATTCTTCACACTAGGGCCAAACACTTCATTGAACCACTCAACGAAAATTTCCCTCGTGACCCATGCCTTACTATTAGATTTCCAAAACACACACAATTTACTCTTCATAACATTGTTTTTTCTGAACACTCTGGGATTTTCAGAATGGTACACTAGTAATGGCTTCACTTTGAAATCCCCACTAGCATTAGCACAAAACATGAGCGTCAGCCTGTCTTTCATAGGCTTGTGTCCTGGCATTGCCTTTTTCCTCCTGTGTAATGAAGGTCCTCTTTGGCATTTTCTTCCAAAAGAGGCCTGTTTCGTCACAATTGAACACTTGTTCAGATTTCAGTCTTCAGCCTCTTGTACTCCTTGAATTCATGCACTTTTTTTTAAGCCGCCTTGTGGTCCGAACTGGCAGCCTCACCATGCCTTACCACACTGTGTATGCCATTTTATGGTTCTTAAATCTCTCAAACCAACCTTTGCTGGCCTTAATTCATCACATCACCACTATTTGCAGGCAATTTCTTTACCAGATCTTTGTGCAGCTGCCTAGCCTTTTCACAAATAATCGAAGTCATAAGAGTATCTCCTGCTAATTGTTTCTCATTTATCCACACCAATAATAACTTTTCAACCTCTTCGAGTACTGGTGATCTCATTTTTGTCAGCATAGTTACCCCCTTTGCAACAACAGTGTCCTTGATTTCCTTTTTCTTGGCCACCATGGAACATATGGTTGTGTAGGGTTTCTTATACATCCTGGCCAGTTCGGCCGCACTTTTGCCACTTTCATATTGTTCAATGATGTTTTTCTTAAATTCAATCGTATTTCTCGCCTTCTTTACCACAGGTTTGGCACTAGGAGCTTTCTTTGGAGCCATGGTAGCTTATTTAGTACTTGCAAGCACTAAAATGAGTGGAATGTCATGAAATATTTCGAAGGAGCACGTGAGGGGGACCTTCGCTCACTGGTAAACAATACCAGACTGGCTGGGTAGGGAGGCCGCCCTGGCTCACACCGTGCATACGCGACCCGGACGAACTACTATTCGCGAGTCAACCTATGTTTAGCGAGCCCATGTTTATACGAAAATATTCCTATGATTTCCGAAATCTATGATTCCCGAGAACTACGTAAAACGAGGGACCACTGTATTTACTCATTGTATACTACACAATAACTGTACAAACATTGTTAGGTGAACTTTTTCACCTAGTTTAGTCACATACTATTGTCTAGAAATATATACATAGTATTTATAGGTCCCAGCAATGTTTTGGTGGGGAAGGGTGTGTGGGTTTGTGTAAACAGCATGGCTGGCTGGCTGGCTGGCTGGCTGGCTGGCTGGCTGAGCTGGCCAGTTGGCTGGCTGGCTGACCAGCTGGCTGGCCCACTGGCTAGCTGGCCAGCAGGGTGGCTGGCTGGCTGGCTGGCTGGCTGGCTGGCTGGCTGGCTGGCTGGCTGGCTGGCTGGCTGGCTGGCTGGCTGGCTGGCTGGCTGGCTGGTTGGCTGGTTGGCTCTCTCTCTGTCTCACAGGTACACATAAATACAAATTACTTAGGATTCATGGAGAATATAATAATAATAATAATAATAATAATAATAATTGAAGCATGGTTGTGTGTGTGTCACTCGTCTTACCTTATCTCTCCACTAATGACAGTGGTGACATTTGATGAGGGTACACTGCCTTCCCTTTATTTGTTTTCACTTTACACATAAACATGTCTGTCTGTCTGTGTCTATCTGTCTGCTTGCCTCTCTCTCTGTCTGCTTGCCTCTCTCTCTGTCTCAGAGAGAGCCACTAATGAACCAACACGTATTACACACGACACAGTAGTCACTGTGTCACACCTTAGTCCTGATACTTATTTACCAGTCTGGATTTTGTGGGTTATCCTAGGAAATTTACACTATGTATAATTGTATTTATGTGTACCTGAGAGAGAGAAACAGAGAGAAACAGACAGACAGAGACCTGACCAGTCAGCTAGCCACCTGACCAGCCAGCCAGCAATGTTGTTTACACAAACCCATGCTCCCTTCCCCACCACCCACACTGCGGGAGAGTGATGTATTCCTTACGCTTGGCTTGGTGGCAAAGACGCACTGAATTACCACTCTCACAATGCAATGCAGGTGCATAGATTTTTTCCTGCTGTGCACACTTACCACATAGACCCATTCTATCACATGGAGGCCTACCAGCTCTCTCCCGCTCAATTTGAAGGCGCTAGAATTTACGAGTACTAGTACGACACCAACCCTAAAAGGGTTAAGGTAAGAAATACTATTTCTGTTACATTTGTAGGCTTAACCAGTAAAAACTATATAATACATCACAACAATGAACTACAATTACATATTCACTTTTATTTTTATAAGATGTGGAGGCCCCCAAAAAAGTTGTTCGGCATTTTGGGGCTCCCAGGAATGTAACCTTATTTTTCCCAAAAGTTCTTCAGTTCATCTAACATGGTTTTACCTAACACAGCATTTTCAGGAATGTAACTACCGTGTTAAATGACGTTCTACTGTATTTTCAATTTTTTTTTTTAATTTCCAAAATACAGTGGACCCCTGGTTATCGGGTGCTTCTGTTATCGACCAACTCGGTGATCAGCCGGTTTTTCGGTTCCCGGTTATCGGCTGTTAATTCGGTGATCAGCCGTTTGGGACGCGTCCATCCGCCGGCTGGGGCCTCTTGCGCATCAGTTTGGCTGTGTCTTTCGGTGTGTGAAGAAGCTTCTACTCATACATACAAATATTTCGCTTGTATTCCATTGTTTTTTGTGGGTTTTTTGTGGCGTAACTGCAAAATAAATAACCATGGCTCCAAAGAAAGTTCCTGTGGTAAACAAAGTGAGAAACACCATGGAATTTGAGCGTGAAGTGTAGCAGGCATACAGGGAGTGTAACAGGCATGCAAGTAGTGTAACAGGCATGCAGGGAGTGTAGCAGGCATGCAGGGAGTGTAGCAGGCATGCAGGGAGTGTAGCAGGCATGCAGGGAGTGTAGCAGGCATGCAGGGAGTGTAGCAGGCATGCAGGGAGTGTAGCAGGCATGCAGGGAGTGTAGCAGGCATGCAGGGAGTGTAGCAGGCATGCAGGGAGTGTAGCAGGCATGCAGGGAGTGTAGCAGACATGCAGGAAGTGTAGCAGACATGCAGGGAGTGTAGCAGGCATGCAGGGAGTGTAGCAGGCATGCAGGGAGTGTAGCAGACATGCAGGAAGTGTAGCACACATGCAGGAAGTGTAGCAGGTATGCAGAAAGTGTAGCAGGCACTCCAGAAGCCAGCATTAGTCTTCAGTAAAGGCATGTAATACTGATTTAATTGTTAAAAAAATATTTTTTGGTGAATATTTTTGTCTGGAGTGGATTAATTGTAATTACATTAATTCTTAGGGAGATATTATTTCTGTTTTTGGCCATTTCGGTTTTAGGCTGAGCTTCTGGAACGGATTACAGTCGATAACCGAGGGCCCACTGTAAAAGTTATCATTTATTTTTCTATTAAATAATTTTCATCTTCTCTGAATACTTTTTTTCTGCTCTCTGACATATAAACAGCATTTTCCATTCCCAGTACACTTGCTTACAGACATGTCCTTCAACATAGGAGAGCATTGGTAGCACTTGACAGTTATAGTATAAGACAGGTGAGCCAGTAGACAGGTCACTCCTGGGTGGAGCACCTCCCTGCCACCACCTTCCCCTTACCCTAGAGATTCCCTCAACTCTAGCTTCCTTTCACAAACCTTTCTAGAAGTGAGTTGCTAGAGGCTGGTTTCCCTAATGCTGAGTAACCAGTTGCACATTTTTATTTACACAGTTGAGTTTGCAGGCTAAGAGCTGTTATCCTACCTCAGCTCATTCAAGGTCAATACCTATACATATAATGTATACTAACATCTCTTGGGATGTGATCTACAACAATCGGCTAGGTGACTAGGGACAACAGGTGTAAGGACACATGCCCAACATTTTCCAGTTGTGCCGGGGATCAAACCACTGACCCTTAGTATGTAAGCTGACGCCACTACCAGCTGAGCCATGGAATGCCACTACAATCGTACAACCTATATATATTTCATCCTCTTGCTGAAACATAGGAGAGGCAGGTGTTGCAGTAGCAGGCCCCCATGTACTACCACATCCAGTTAACCCTCTAGCTTTGATGGCAGCAGTTAACCCAGACCACCAGACCGGTTTCCTGGGCACCTTATTTCACTCGGGTTGCAGGTGCTTAGCCACTGCTAGTAACCACTAGGTAAACCACTTGAATTGGCAAGCCATCTAGGTGCATAAGCCGCAGTAACATATCCCCTCCTCCTGGAGTGCCCTCAGGCAGGTCTGTTCCTGAGTACAGCTTCCTCAGCTTACCTAAGGAAGCTGTACTCAAAATGTAGATATACGTGAGGGACCCTGGCATCAATAACGTAGGCCTATGTAAAAGGCCACTGAAAGGATTATTTATGCTGGTCAGGTTTTCTAAATGTTGTGTAATAGTATTGTCATCACATTTTTTCAGGCATTTATATCCAAAATGCATTATGCTAATTTTTTCCTTGTTTTCAAACAGCCAAGCAGTGCAAGCAGGCAACACCCTGTACATCTCAGGTCAGCTTGGAATGAACCCAGAGACTTTGAACCTAGTTAGTGAGGATGTTGTTGCACAGACTGAAACAGCCTTAACCAACATGGGTTACATTCTTGAGGCAGCAGGATGTACTTACAAGAATGGTAAGCTGCTACTCTTGATCTGAGCAGAGGAGCTAGAAATTTTATTGATTAAACCAAATATACTTTAATACATTTCCTTCTATTGATTTAACAAATTGCAATCAAAATATTTAACAGATTATAGTTTACTAAAATTATAATGCCAGTATTTTCAGTTATACCTCAGTAATAGACAACAGCACATAGCCCCTATCAATAAATGTATAAGTGTCATCCAAGGTAGCAATATTCATTTTTTCATCTATATCAGTGATGTACTTTATGCCATCCAACCTTCTTACTGTTCATACCACTTACATCTTCTCCCACTCAAACCTGGCTATACTACTTAGTAACACTGTAAACAGCGAGCTACATAAAATATCAAACCAGATGACAACCATCAAACTTACTCTCAATATAGACAGAACCTACTTCATGCTTTTTGGAAACAGAGCATTAAATATCCAGCTAAACATATCAATAAATGGTTCACCCATTACAAGACGCACTGAGGGCAAATTTCTAGGTCTACACTTTGACTTTAAGATTAAATTTCAGACTCGCATCCAGCATATAACTAAGAAAGTTTTCAAAGCAGTAGGTATCCTTTCCAAGATACGATACTATGTACCCCAAAGGGCGCTCCTTACTTTATATCTTTCTCTAATATACCCTTACCTCACCTATGGTATTTGTGCTTGGAGATCTACCACAACCAGTCACCTTAAACCTTTAACCCTTTGAGGGTTTCGGCCGTACTAGTACGGCTTACGACCCAGGGTTTTTGACGTACTAGTACGCCTAAATTCTAGCGCCCTCAAATCTAGTGGGAGAAAGCTGGTAGGCCTACATATGAAAGAATGGGTCTATGTGGTCAGTATGCGCAGTATAAAAAAAATCCTGCAGCACACAGTGCATAATGAGAAAAAAAAAAAAAAACTTTAACCGTTACAGCGACTTTGCACTGTATTTTCGCATGGTATTTATTGTTGTATTCTAGTTTTCTTGGTCTCATTTTATAGAATGGAAGACATACTACAGAAATAGAGATGATTTTGACTGGTTTTACAATGAAAAGTACCTTGAAATTGAGCTCAAAGTAGCAGAAATGTTCGATTTTTACCAAAGTTCAAAAGTAAACAAATCATGCTATGTGTCCAATACACATCAACTGGTGAGTCTAGTATTCTTTCGCAAGTGCATCAATATTATTTATACCATTTTTTACACTAATGCAGTAGTCTGCATAACAGTAAATCTTCTATATTTTATGAGAATAAAAATTCAAAGTGGAAAGCAAAAGAATGCAAGAGAGGCCTTGAGACGTGACTAATGAACAGAGGAAATGTCATTTTAGTGCCAGGAATGTCTTTCTTGTTTATTCTGGACCCTATTCAGAAATTGGCATCTTTTGAAATTTGTGTGAAATTGGCAAAATTACTAAATTCTGACCACTGTACTGGATAGTTGAAATTGATAAATGGGTGGTTTCTTGCACTCATTCGATAGAAAAAAATGGAGTTCTAGTGAAATATCCATGTTTTTTGTTGACTAGTACAGTGGAATTGGCTGAAAATGGGGCTCAAAGTGGGCAAAATCGCCAATGCGTAAATATCACCGAGACCACTAACTTTGCAAGAGCATAATTCCGTAAGTTTTCCATCAAATTTCAAACTTTTGGTGTCATTATGATAGGGAAAAGATTCTCTATCTTTTCATAAGAGAATTTTTTTTTTTTTTTTTTAAATTTGGCCAACCCTGAGAACAAGTCTCGGAGAGGGCCTGTCGACCCTCAAAGGGTTAGTAACCCAACATAAAGTGCCGGTGCAGATGATTACAAACTCCAGCTCCAGACAACACATCCCACCACTCTTCAAAAGCTTGAACCTACTTAATATATGAAATATACACATTTATTACTGTGCCTACTATATATACAGAACATTAAACTCCAATATCAACCCACCACTCAAACTTCTAGACAGCTTCAGCAGAACACAGGCACAACATGAGACTCAAAACAGTTTTTGACATCCCTTGTGTCCGTCTCACACTATGCAAAAGTGCAATGCACATAAATGACCCGAAGATCTGGAACTCTTTATCTGAAACAGCAAGAGGTCCCCTGTCCACAAATCAGTTTAGGACTATACTCAAAAATCATCTCTCTCAATAACAACCATACCCACAGTATGCTAAACTAACCCAATTTAAAGCAACTCTCCCAAATATTTTATTATCCTTTAACTATTAAGCCATTATTACAAACTTAACAATGTATGTTTGTATCATTAATTGTACTACCTCATATTAATAATATAGTAAAATATTGAATACATATTTGTATTCTACCACTCTTCACCTGTCTAAACTTAAGTAGTCTATAAGCATTAGGTTAAGTCTGCTCAAAATGCCTCAGCTTTGTACCAATCAGATTATGAAATGTAACACACATTGTAACCTTAGCAAAGAAATATAATTTTATTATTATTATTATTATTATTAGTCTCAGACCCCTCAACAATAAGCATCAGTGTTAACGATGAGCGTAAAAAAATCTACAGCTGGATGATTACCAGTAAACTCACTTAATATTGAAAAAAATATTCTACAGAATTTTTGGAACACCATGACTCGAATTAAGTGTTAGAATTAATAAAACTGAAGTAGAAAGAAAAGTGGGAAAATTATTAGTTTAACTCTCACTGTGCATCACATAGAACTGTCATTGAGGCCAGGGTATGTAGATGAATGGTTCAGAGGACTGACAAGGGTACCAGATGTAGTTCTATGTTATGAGATCAGCTTACTCAGATAAGCACTGTATGGCCCTTGTGGTTTAGCGCTTCTTTTTTGATAATAATAATACTCAGATAAGCTGTGAACAGTTAATTTTGGCCTAGGTATAAGAGAATGGGTCTGTGTGGTGAGTGTGCACCATGCGCATGAGTGAGGCCATGCACTTGCTTATTTCAAATCTTACCTTACTAATAGGTATCAGTATGTCACCATTAAAGACACAGCATCAACAACACGGCCACTTGATACTGGAGTTCCGCAGGGAAGTGTCCTTGGTCCCCTGCTCTTCCTCATATACATCAATGATCTTCCAAACGTATCCCAACACCTGAAACCCATTCTCTTTGCTGACGACACGACTTATGCCATCTCTCACCCTGATCTTGCCACCCTCAACACCATCGTTAACAAGGAGCTGATCAAAATATCGACTTGGATGACAGCCAATAAACTTACGCTTAACACTGACAAAACCTACTATATTATGTTTGGTAGCAGAGCAGGAGATGCACAAATTAACATTAAGATCGACAACACTCTAATTACCAGACATAATGAGGGCAAATTCCTAGGCCTATACCTTGACAACAACCTGAATTTCAGCACCCATATCCAACACATAACCAAAAAAGTATCCAAAACGGTTGGAATCCTCCCCAAGATACGATAATACGTGCCGCAAAATGCCCTTCTCACACTATACCACTCACTTATTTATCCATACCTCACCTATGCTATTTGTGCTTGGGGATCAACTGCAGCAACACACCTAAAGCCAATAATAACCCAACAAAAAGCTGCAGTAAGAATAATCACTAAATCCCATCCCTGGCAACACACTCCCCCACTCTTCATAGATCTAAACTTACTCCCTGTTCAGTACATCCACACTTACTAGTGTGCAATCTACATCTACAGGACCTTAAACTCCAATATCAACCTTGACCTAAAATGCTTTCTTGATAGTTGTGACAGAACCCACAGGCATAACACCAGACACAAACATCTCTACGACATTCCCCGTGTCCGACTAAACCTTTACAAAAATTCAGTGTATGTCAAAGGCCCTAAAATCTGGAACACCCTACATGAGAACTCTAGAACTGCAGACACATTCATCACCTTCAAAACTACCATTAGAAAACATCTTATCTCCCTGATACACCCCGTCAACTAACTACACAAATACCACCTGGTGGTTCACACTTACACTCACTCACCCATTTGACCATAAACAGAAATATTAATCTCAATCTTAAAATAATGAATCCTGTGATACTCCAATACTGAAACTATGTACTGTGCCAAAACAAAAGCATTCACATTGCTAAACTCACAAACTGGTATTTAGTCACTTAGCCATAATACCAACTTACCTCATAATTTGTAATATTTTAAAATTAAGACTTAAACTAAGTCTGCCCGAAATGCCTAGCCATGCTAGGTGTTCTAGTGGTACACTCTGTAATCATTATTTTACTACATGTAAACCACACAATAACCAAATTCTGTAAACTCAGCATTGTAATCCTTATAGAGAATAAACTTTGAATTTGAATATTAAAAAAGACTGTCCCACCTGGTATATGATGGGGGGGAAAAAAAACAGTGATTTTGCAGTGTTTTTGCAGATTGTTTTTTTTTTTTTTTTTTTTTTTATGTTTCTTGGTAACATTTAATAGATTGAAAGACATATTACTGGAAGTAGCTTGAAATTGAAGTCAAAGTAGTGGAAATATTCAGTTTTTGCTGATATGCCCATCTATTTTATGTTTTTTAGTAAGTCTGATTCCATTATTGGGATGCTGTACACCATGACCAATCATTTCTGGTTATATTTTATTATCTGAGAAATAGAGTAAATCTTTAATTTTTGTGTAAATAAAAATTCAAAATGGAAAAAAAGTGTAATATAGGAGAGGCCGGGTGTCATGACTAATGAACAGAGGAAATGTTTTAGTCCCAGGAATGTTTCTTATTGACTTTTTTTTTTCTTTTTGTGAAATTGGTCAAATAACCGAATTCTGATCACTTTATATGGTACAGTTGAAATAGTTGAATGGGCAGTTTGTTGCGCTCATTCAATAGAATGGAAGGCATACTAATGAAGTAGCTAAGAATATGGTTGGTTGAAACAATAGCAATGACTTCAAATAGGGCTCAGTGAAATCATCAGTATGTAAATTGCTCCAAGACTGCTAAGCTTGTTCCTGCATAATTTTTAGGATTTAAGATGCTGTTGGAGTATGAGTGAGGTAAGTCAGATAGGATTCAAGGAAATTGCATAGTTGGACTTTAGTTGTGGGTGTGAGGAGGAAGGGTTGGAAATGTTGCAGTTGGAAGGTCATTTAAATTGTGGTGTTCACACACTTCTGGCACAACAACTATTGCACATATTTTTTTTTATCTGTTTAGGTGCAGTTTGAGCTAGCCTGCCAGGTACTGTTGGAAGTAGATAACTGATTACTGGATAATTGATGAGCTGTGCATTTGTGAGCACGTGCATGTTTTTACTCATTCAGCTCGCGTACCATTGTTACACTTCACTGTTTAGCATTTCACTTCATACTTCTTTGTTTCAGTTGTAAAGACAACAGTGCTGTTAGCAGACATCAATGACTTTGCCAAAGTCAATGAAGTGTATTCACAGTGTAAGTACATATATATATATATATATGACATTTTTCTTGTATCTTATTATTTTTCAGTATAAAATCAAATGTGCCTTAACCATCTAGTTTTTAGAGTGCTCTTTTTTCCTCATACCCTTCCTCCCTCCTCATCTCCCTCCCCTCTCACAAATTTGCAGATGTTTCGAACATAACCCTATTTTTTTGCACATGTTCTTCATGTCATTTAGTGCTATTTTAGATTAGATGCTGATTTTTCAGGAACATAATCTAACTTAAGTTGATGGTTTAGTGTACTAGAATGGTATCCATGAGAAGGTGGTGTTATAAGTGGTACAAATCTTATACTAACAAATTAAACTCTGAAGACAAAATACAGTGGACCCTTGCCTAACGAACGCATCGCATAACGTTAAATCCGCCTAACAAAGTGTTTGAGTGTAAAAATTTTGGCCCGCTTAACGATAAAAAAACTCGCCCAGCGTGATTCCTCCCAAACCTGTCTGTCCAGCCTGAGCGCCTCAGCTGCTTTGCTGTCATTGTTTACAAGCCAGGGTGGCCAGTTGCATGCATACATTCGATACATTTTGTATTATTCCATTGTTTATAGTGCTTGTAACTGCTAAATAAGCCACTATGGGCCCAAAGAAAGCTTCTAGTGCCAGCCCTGTGGTAAAAAGGGTGAGAAATACTATCGTACCGCAGTCAGGTGTTGCTGCACCGCAGTCAGGTGTTGCTGCACCGCAGTCAGGTGTTGCTGCACCGCAGTCAGGTGTTGCTGCACTGCAGTCAGGTGTTGCTGCACCATGGTCAGGTGTTGCTGCACCACGGTCAGCTGTTGCTGCACCACGGTCAGCTGTTGCTGCACCAGTCTGCTGCACCACCGTCAGCTGTTGCTGCACCATGGTCAGCTGCTGCTGCACCACAGTCAACTGTTGCTGCACCACCATCAGCTGTTGCTGCACTACAGTCAGCTGTTGCTGGACCAGTCAGCTGTTGCTGCACCACAGTCAGCTGCTGCTGCACCATGGTGAACTGCTGCTGCACCACAGTCAGCTGCTGCTTCACCATGGTGAACTGCTGCTGCACCACAGTCAGCTGCTGCTGCACCACGGTCAGCTGCTGCTGCACCACCGTCAGCTGTTTCTGACCAACATGACTCGTCCCGAACCTGTCCATCCAGCACTGCCGTCATTGTTTACAAGCCAGGGTGGCCGGTTGCATGCATACATTCGATACATTTTGTATTATTCCATTGTTTATAGTGCTTGTAACTGCTAAATAAGTCACCATGGGCCCAAAGAAAGCTTCTATTGCCAATCTTGTGGTAAAAAGGGTGAGAAATACTATCGTACCACAGTCAGCTGCTGCTGCACCACCGTCAGCTGTTGCTGGACCAGTCAGCTGTTGCTGCACCACGGTCAGCTGTTGCTGCACCACGGTCAGCTGTTGCTGGACCACGGTCAGCTGTTGCTGGACCAGTCAGCTGTTGCTGGATCAATTAGCTGCTGCTGCACCACAGTCAGCTGCTGCTGCACCACAGTCAGCAGTTGCTCCACCACAGTCAGCTGTTGCTGCATCACCATCAGCTGTACTATTTAAAGATGTGGAGAGTGTGTTGTTGGTGTGGCTTAACGTGAAACAATTACCGAGAAATGATTAACCCCAGAGGGTTAGCCACCCAGGATAACCCAAGAAAGCCAGTGCATCATCGAGGACTGTCAACTAACACCCAGGTGAACAGGAAAAAATGCCTGGAACTAGTGCTCATATTGGTGAATTTAAGGCCAGCAAAGGTTGGCTTGAGAGATTTAAGAATTGTAGTGGCATACACAGTGCAATAAGGCATGGCGAAGCTGAAAAATTCATCCCCCAACAAGTGTTCAGTTGTGACAAAACAGGCCTGTTCTGGAAGAAAATGCCAAACAGAACCTACATTACTCAGGAGGAAAAGGCACTCCCAGGACACAAGCCTATGAAAGACAAGCTAACTCTCATGTTTTGTTGTAATGCTAGTGGGGATTGCAAAGTGAAGTCTTTACTGGTGTATCACTCTGAAAATCCCAATGTTCAAGAAAAACAGTGTCTCATCACTCATCAAAACTCTTCAATAAAGGTAAGTGTCATTTTAACATTTATTTGTGTAGTTATTGTGCATGTCTTATTGTTTTCTTTGTAGGGAAATGTATATTTCATGAAAAAAAAAAAATTTAATACTTTTGGCTGTCTGGAACAGATTAATTGGATTTCCATTATTTCTTATGGGGAAAATTAACTCGGCTAACGATAATTTCGGCTAACGATGAGCTCTCAGGAACAGATTAATATCGTTAGGCGAGGGTCCACTGTATATCTGTACTTTTACTGCAAATAGGGAATCACAAATATAAGGCCAGTGATAAACTTGTGTCAATAACATAAGTTTGTCTGTTCGTGGAGTCATATGGTTACATTTCAACACTTCTGTTATCCTCCCATCATTCTCACCCATCTAGACCTCATGTTTAAAAAGTAGCTTGTTATTGGAGCACCACACATGATAGCTTTTAGTCTACACTTACCACTTTCACTGTCCCCCCTCCCCCCCCCCTATCCCCAAAATTAACCCTGTCAGTGGCTATCACATAGAACTACAGTTGAACGTCTGTTGTCGAATGCCTTTCTTGTTGAACAAATTGGTTTTCAAATGAGGAATTTGAGAAGAAAATGTCCTGGTTTTTGTACGTGCTCTTGGTCGTTGATGGACAATGCGAACAGGACAAAGCTTGCCAGACAGTGAGTTGGCAGCATGGGTCTCAGCCAGTATAGCCCTTAACTCGTGTGCTTTAAACATCCCTTGAGCTTTTGTTGTGCATCTTGTGAACTTACATTGTTTTGCAGTTTTGGTGCAAAATTTTTTTTATTGTGAGATAAGCCATAATGAGTCCAAAGAAGGATAATTAGATGAAAGCAAAAAGAAAAGCTGTGAAAAGCACTGTTGAGTTTAAAAATAGAGTGCAAAATAAACAATATAGACATTTCTGGCACTAAAACAACACTTGCTCTGTTCATTAATCCCATTCCCAGGCTTCTCCTATATTAAAATGCCTTCCATTTTAAATACTTAATCACACAAAAGTAAAGATTTACTCTACTTCCCAGATATGTACTAAAATATAACCTGGAATGATTGGTCATGGTTTACAGCATCTCAATAACTGAATCAGAACTATTAAAACCCCACAAAACAGACTTCATGGGTGTAGGAGATCCTTACCCATCTGCAGAAAAATCAGCAAAAATTTAATATTTTCTCTAATTTGAGCCCAATTTCAAGCTATTTCCCATTCTAAAACCAACCAAAATCATCTCTTATTTCAGCAATATGTCTTTCATTCTATTAAATGATACTAAGAAGCAGCCAATAAAACCACAAAAACCATTCTAGAAAAAATCTCGAAGTTGCTATTTTAAACTAAACACAAGATCAGAGTTTTGGTTTTTCCCATCATGCACTATGTGGGGCAGGATCTTTTTTTTTTTTTTTTTTTTTTTTTAACTGCACTCGCTGCACAGACCCATTCTCTAACAGCTAGGCCAGAATTTAGCACTCACAGTTTATCTTAGCGAGCTGAACTCACGACATAGAACTACCTGAGGGACCCTGGCCTCAGTGATGTACAGTGGTTGTCGAATTTAATTTGTTCTAGATGTCGATTCGACAACCAAAATGGAAGATAACCAAAGCAATTTTTCCCATAAAGAATAATGTAAATAAAATTAATCCATTCCAGACTCCAAATGACAATATAATGATTAAAATTGTACTAACTACTACATAAAACTGTACAATAAATGAAAATTTAATTGCCTCTTACCTGTCAGAGGAGAGCTAATGGGATACTGGAAGCAGGAGCTGGAAAAGAGGAAGGGGGTATGTTACTGCTTGGAAGGAGAGTCACTTTCTAATATGTCAGGCAACTCTGCTTCTGGTGTTGTTTCTCTTTGTCTCTTCACCTCTTAACACCTTGTTCTGGCTCACTGAATCTGTCTCGCTAAAAACCTGTCCAATGAGGTTTGCTCCAGGCTCTGTTTTAATATTGTCTAAATTGAGACATTACACTGTCATTGTACATGTTAGATGGATAGCCACTGCTTTGTCTGGATGGTATTTTTCGGCGAACTTCTGCACTTCATGCCATTTAGCACGCATTTCCTTCACAAGTGCAATGGGCACATCATCCCTTTCCTCCTCTTCCTCTGCTGCAGTCTGTTGCTGCTCCTTCTGAAGGTCTACAAGTTCTTCTGTGGTTAAGTTCTGCACTCCTCCACCAGCTCCACATCATATTCAGTAATCTCTATGCCCAAGGTCTTCCCCAAACACACAATATAACACTGTTTTTCTTAAAAACTCATGGATTTTTGGAATGATAAACAAGTAAAGGCTTCAATTTCAAGTCCCCACTTGCAATACCACACAATAACAGAGTGAGCCTGTCTTTCATTGGCTTGTGTCCTGGCACTGACTTTTCCTCTTCAGTTATGTAGAACTTCTTGGGCATTTTCTTCCAGAAGAGGCCTGTCTCGTCGCAGTTAAACACTGTAAATAACAAGCTGCTAAAATTATGTACTTGGATGATGACCAACAAACTCACTCTCAACATAGACAAAACATATTTCATGCTATTTGGAAACAGCCTTAAATATCCAACTTAACATATTGATAAATAGTTCCCCTATTACAAGACACACTGAGGGTAAATTTCTAGGTCTTCTCCTTGACTGTAATCTTAAATTTCATTCCCACATCCAGTATATATCCAAGAAAATTTCCAAATCAGTAGGCATCCTTTCCAAGATACGATACTATGTACCTTATACTCTTTACCTTATTTTTTTTTTTTTTCAACAAGTCGGCCGTCTCCCACTGAGGCAGGGTGATCCAAAAAGAAAGAAAATCCCCAAAAAGAAAATACTTTCATCATCATTCAACACTTTCACCTCACTCACACATAATCACTGTTTTTGCAGAGGTGCTCAGAACACAATAGTTTAGAAGCATATACGTTTAAAGATACACAACATATCCCTCCAGACTGCTAATATCCCAAAACCCCTCCTTTAGAGTGCAGGCATTGTACTTCCCATTTCCAGGACTCAAGTCCGGCTATATAAAAATAACCGGTTTCCCTGAATCCCTTCACTAAATATTACCCTGCTCACACTCCAACAGATCATCAAGTCCCAAATACCATTCGTCTCCATTCACTCCTATCGAACACGCTCATGCACGCCTGCTGGAAGTCCAAGCCACTCGCCCACAAAACCTCCCCTAACCCTTCCTTCCAACCTTTTCGAGGACGACCCCTACCCCGCCTTCCTTCTCCTACAGATTTAAATGCTCTCCATGTCATTCTACTTTGATCCATTCTCTCTAAATGACCAAACCACCTCAACATCCCCTCTTCAGCCCTCTGACTAATACTTTTATTAACTCCACGCCTTCTCCTAATTTCCACACTCCGAATTTTCTGCATAATATTTACACCACACATTGCCCTTAGACAGGACATCTCCACTGCCTCCAACCACTTCCTCACTGCTGCATTCACAGCCCAAGCTTCACACCTATATAAGAGTGTTGGTTCTACTATACTTTCATACATTCCCTTCTTTGCCTCCATAGATAACGTTTTTTGACTCCACATATACCTCAACGCACCACTCACTTTTTTTCCTTCATCAATTCTATGATTAACCTCATCCTTCATAAATCCATCTGCCGACACGTCAACTCCCAAGTATCTGAAAACATTCACTTCTTCCATACTCCTCCTCTCCAATTTGATATCCAATTTTTCTTTATCTAAATCATTTGATACCCCCATCACCTTACTCTTTATCTATGTTCACTTTCAACTTTCTACCTTTACACACATTCCCAAACTCATCCACTAGCCTTTGCAGTTTTTCTTTAGAATCTCCCATAAGCACAGTATCATCAGCAAAAAGTAACTGTGTCAATTCCCATTTTGTATTTGATTCCCCATAATTTAATCCCACCCCTCTCCCGAACACCCTAGGATTTACTTCTTTTACAACCCCATCTATAAATATATTAAACAACCATGGTGACATTACACATCCCTGTCTAAGACCTACTTTTACCGGGAAGTAGTCTTCCTCTCTTCTACACACCCTAACCTAAGCCTCACTATCCTCATAAAAACTCTTTACAGCATTTAGTAACTTACCACCTATTCCATATACTTGCAACATCTGCCACATTGCTCCCCTATCCACTCTATCATATGCCTTTTCTAAATCCATAAATGCAATAAAAACTTCCCTACCTTTATCTAAATACTGTTCACATATATGCTTCAATGTAAACACTTGATCTACACGTCCCCTACTCACTCTAAAACCTCCTTGCTCATCCGCAATCCTACATTCTGTCTTACCTCTAATTCTTTCAATAATAGCCCTACCGTACACTTTTCCTGGTATACTCAATAAACTTATTCCTGTATAATTTTTACAATCTCTTTTGTCCCCCCTTCCCTTTATATAAAGGGACTATAGATGCTCTCTGCCAATCCCTAGGTACCTTCCCCTCTTTCATACATTTATTAAACAAAAGTACCAACCACTCCAACACTATATTACCTTATACCACTCTTTAATATATCCCTACCTCACCTATTGTATTTGTGCCTGGGGTTTAACCACAGCCAACCACCTTAAACCTTTAATAACCCAACAAAAAGCTGCTGTGCAGATGATTACCAGCTCCTTTCCAAACAGCACACCCCACCACTTTACAAAAATCTGAATCTACTAAATATTCAAGACGTACACTCGTATTATTGTGCCTACTATATATACAGAACATTAAACTCCAGTATAAACCCTCTGCTTAAACTTCTCCTTGATAGCTACAACAGGATCCCCTGACAACATACAAATTTAGAACTATGCTTAAAAATCATCTCATCTCTCAATACTAACCAAACCAACCAAAACAACTTCTAACCAGTTTGAAGGAACTCCCAAATTTTATATTATGTGAACTTGAGTCTATTAAAACATCTGCCAATCCATGAAATATTTCTGTTTGAACTATTAATTGTAATATAGTTTTTATTATGCAACTTCAAGATTATAATTCTTATAAACCTCCACCTTGACTACCTCATGTTAGTATTAAGATAAAATATTTATTAAAAAGTTAACCACTCTTATCTTGTCTAGACTTAAGCAGTTATTATGTACTAGGATAATGGCTTTCTTTGTACTTAACAAATCAAAATTGTAAATATACATTGTAACCTTGCAAAGAAATAAAATCTTTATCATTATCTTTTATCTTTCTTTAAAGAAGTGGTTTGGGATATTGGCTGTTTGGAGTGACATCTAAACTGTCATATCTTGGTGTGTCTGCAAAGACAGTCATTGTGTGTGAATGATGGTGAAAGTGTTGAATGATGCTGAAAGCATTTCTTTCTTTTTTTGGGTCACCTTTCTTTGGTGGGAGATGGTTGATGTTTTGATATAGTGGTAATTTTTTTTTTTTTTTAAATGAGCAATATAGCGAGGCCTAAAATAATGCACATAACAGTGCACACATTATTCCTGAAATAGAAAGACACTCAAAACTCATCAAAGGTATATCAAAAGTGATAGCTTATGGTGAGTGGTGAATATATTTATTGTAGGAAGTCTGAATAAATGAAGAATGAGTATAATTGAAAACCACTGCATTAGCAAAGTGCTGTAAAGCAAAGTGCTGTAAAGCAAAGTGCTGTAAAGCAAAGTGCTGTAAAGCAAAGTGCTGTAAAGCAAAGTGCTGTAAAGCAAAGTGCTGTAAAGCAAAGTGCTGTAAAGCAAAGTGCTGTAAAGCAGGGCCTGCCTGTATAACTAAAAGAAGGATGGGAGATACCTGTGCAAGTGGTCGATTCACTTGATTGAGTTGGCTTAATATATTTTGAAAGATAATACAGTGGAACCTCTGGTCACGACCATAATTCGTTCCAAAACTCTGGTCGCGACCCGATTTGGTTGTGACCCGAACCTAATTTCCCCATTGGATTGCATATAAATACGATTAATCAGTTCCAGAACCCTATGAACTGTATGTAAATATTGTTTTTTTTTTTTTTAAGATTTTTAAGCACAGAAATAATTATACCATAGAATGCACAGTGTAATAATAAACTAAATGTAAAAGCCTTGAATAACACTGAGAAAACCTTGAACAACAGAGAAAACTAACACTGCACGAGTCTGTTCTAGACACTATGAACCATTTGCTGTAAACAGTTTTTATTTTTAACAATTTTAAGCACAAAAAATAATCAAAATTTGAAAAATCCTTAATTATACAAAATAATGCACAGTTTAATAGAGAACAAATCTTAAATAACAGAGACAAAAAATGCTGTAAACAACCAAGAAAACAAAATGAATTAAAAAACACATGAAATACAATGCAAGGAGTTCACAGCGAATGAACACACATCTGACCGAGACCAACTATAAGGCGAGGGTTTTTGTTAGGTGTACACGAACAACAGGAAGTGGGGAAAATTGGTGCTTGCAGAAAAAAAAAATGGCGCAGAATGTGAAAATTAGCGCGGATGTATTTGTTCGGCACCTGATTATGTGTTCATGACCAAATGCAAAAATTTGGCAAATTTTATGGTCGTGAACTGATTTGTTCATGTTCGGAAGCATTTGTGATCAGAGGTTCCACTGTACTTTGCAATGGATTGGAAATCTGCAGTAGTTGGTATTGTTTATTCTTGTAATGAGAGTTTCAGAGTTCAGTATTATTGTTACATTGTTATGATTTGCTTATTTTATTTTTCAGTTTTCTCAGAGGCTGTACCAGCACGAGCAGCTTACCAGGTTGCTAATTTACCCAAGGTACTGTGTGGTTTGATTGGCTCTCTCAATGTTTTGTGTGCTAGAGGAGTTGTGCTTGTAGTGTCATTGGTGTTTAGTTTCTGGACACCACTGTATTGTGAGCCTTGTCTTGTATGGGATGAAATCCTACCATTACATTTTATGAAGTGATCTTTAGTTTTCTGTGGGGTCACTGGTATGACACAATGGTCCAACCTTCCAGCAAGTGGATCATCATATGACTAAGACTTTCATTAACACAAATTTCCATCTGTCTCCTGACAAAGAAAACACCACCATCATAACTGTACAAGTTTTCATTTATTGTAGCATATGTCACCACCACCACCACCACCACCTGAGTACTGTCCACTACTCTACTACTGTGTACAAGTACATGCTTTCTAATATCCCTTTTACTTGCTAGTGATGTGCCTTGATACTGGTGAAGGGCTGTTGATCCAAACAATTAGTTAACCCTTCTCTTGAATGAGCGATGGTTAATATGTAGGGTAGTTCATTGAGGTGGAGACTAAGAATATTATCCATTGTGGCAAAGAAGGGAATGTATGAGAGTATAGCAGTACCAACACACTTATATGGGTGTGAAGCATTGGCTCTACATGTTGCAGTGAGAAGGAAGCTGGAAGCACAGGAGATGTCATGTCTGAGGGCAATGTGTGGCATAAATGTTATGCAGAAAATTCGTAGTATGGAAATTAGGAGGAGGTGCAGGGTTACTAAAAGTGTTATTCAGAGGGCTGAGGAGGGGTTGTTGAGGTGGTTTTTGTCATTTAGAGAGGATGGAGCAAACTAGGATGACTTGGAGGGTATGTATATAAATCTGTCATGGAGGGAAGGCTGGGTAGGGGTCTTTCTAGGAAAGGTTGGAGGGAGGGAAGGGTAAAGGAGGTTTTGTATCAAGGGGCTTGGACATACAGCAGTCATGTGTGAGCATGTTAGATAGGAGTGAATGGAGATGAATGGTTTTTTTAATTTTATGAGCTGTTGGAGTGTGGGCAGGGTAATATCTTGTGAAGGGATTCAGGGAAACCAGTTAGCCATTCTTTAGTCTTGGAGGTGGGAAGCACAGTGCCCGCTCTCTAAAGAAGGGGTTTGGGATATTTGCTGTTTAGAGTGACATCTAAACTGTCACATCTGTATGCTTCTGGCAAGATAGTGATACACAAATAACCCGCACATAAAAGAGAGAAGCTTACGACGACGTTTCGGTCCGACTTGGACCATTGACAAAGTCACACTAACAGAGGTGGAGCAGGACGGCTATATATAGGCAGGAAGAGGTGGAGGTAGTAGTAGTAGTAGTATTAGTACAAGAATTGTATATAATACCGATATAGCCGTCCTGCTCCACCTCTGTTAGTGTGACTTTGTCAATGGTCCAAGTCGGACCGAAACGTCGTCGTAAGCTTCTCTCTTTTATGTGCGGGTTATTTGTGTATCGTTCCAGTCACGGTATTGTGCCTTTTTGTTATTTAAGATAGTGATAGTGTGAATAATGGTGAAAGTTTTTCTTTTTTGGGTCGCCCTGCCTCAGTGGGAGGCAGCTAGCTTGTTAAAAGGAAAAAACTCATGTACAGTTCAGAACATTTATTAAAGAAAATATTTTGTAATGAGTGACTTCGGTACTAATACAAACATCTCTTGTATATAGTGGTATTAGGAACCAGGGGACATATTGAGGGTGGTGGTGGTGGTGGCGGCGGCGGCAGTGGTGGCGGCGGTGGTGGTGGCATTGGTGGCGGCGGCAGCGGCAGCGGCGGCGCTGCTATTGGTGGGCTTGCAAAAGACCTGTCAGCATAGGCCAGTAGGCTTGCCTCTATTCTTAAATTTATATCATATGATAGGCAACATCTTGTTTGCCAAGAGTTTGAAACTGCTGCACTTCTGTGTGATGGTATTAATGATGATAATTAAGGCAGCTTCCATACATTTTTTCTGCATAATACATTTTTATAAATGGGTAAGGGGCAACAAACCTTTTTGGGGTGATAAAGAAAAGTTGAAATTGAAAAATTATGGAAAACAATGGTTTCTTAACAAAAAAAATAGTGCATAATTCTGGCAACATGTTGATGGAATCAGCATGTTTCTATCATATTTCTAAGTATGTTTTTCTACAAATGTAATTTTTTTTTGTTTTTGCTGTCAGCAAGAGGACATGTTGGCAGTTAGTTATTTTTTTTTTTTACTCCCAAAAATTATGATTTTTTATGATTGTTTCATTCTAAATACTCTACATGACAACTTCTGTGAGAACTAAAGTGAAAAGTGCAGAGAGATTGTACCTCAGTAGCCTGCAGGCTGTCAACAAGGACAGAGGGGTGCAACATGATCAGATTTGGTAGGCCATAACCGTAGTTTTATATAAAACATAATTATGTATAACTCAGGAATAAGTTTTTGGCATTATTTTCCCTCTCATGCAAAGAGTATTTAAAGGAGCATCATGATTTTTTAAACCCCATTTTTGAAAAATTTGATGGTTCTGTTAAATTTCCCCTAGAAGTTTGTGATATGTTTTACCATTGGAGATTGGAGAAAGGGACTACATAGTAGGTACAATTCAGTCTGGGAAACATAAGGTAGTCATTGCAGTGATTTTAAAACCCCAAACCACAGAACACGGAGGCTAAGAGGGGAATAAAAAAGAAAAAACAGAGCAATGGTGGACCCCACGGGGTTTGAGGTAAGATAAGTTTTTCATTCGTTTTTTAAACCCCGAAGGGTTACCCACCCAGGAAAACCCAAGAAAGTCAGTGCATCTTTTGTTCCTAAATTTTTGTTCCCCGGAGGGAAACCCACCCGTCGACTGACACCCAGGTACCTTTTTGCTGCTGGGGAAACAGGACAAAGGTGTAAGGAAATGGGGTCAAATTTTTTTCCCCACCTGCTGGGAAAATAAAAACCCGGGCCCCCCAATGTGTGAAGTGGGGTTTAGCCACCGGGCCCAAATGGGCCACGGGGAAAGAAGAGTCACTAAAGCAGGCAAAGTTATGGTTTTTTGGGGTGTTTTTTCAACCACGGGAGCTTTTTTGGGGAAAACCTGGACCCACTTTGGGGGGGGGGGGGTTCCCGGGAAACATGGAGGACAAGATGATGGATGTGGTAGGGGGGGAAAAAACCTCATCCCATAAAACATGTCGGGACACTACAGAAAGAAGGGAAGGATGAACCAGCAAGATGGCCCCTTGTGTTCCCCCCTGAGCAGTTCAGAAAAATTGAAAAAATTCCAATGGGGCCCCCTTGGAGTCTGTTTCACAGGGTTTCCCGGGGTTTTTGTTTACAAATTTGTTTTCCCAAGTGGAGGGGAAAATTGATTTGGGAATGGGGAGTTTACACAGGTATGGGGAAATTTCCCCTGCAGGAGGTTCATTAGGACAGAAAAACTGGTAGGAAAGTCAATAAATGAAATGTGGCATATGTAAACAAAAAAAATGCAAGGAGGCAGGGGAAAGGGTTTTTTTCCCCAAGGGCAACAGAAAAAAAGTCCGGGGTTTACCTAAAGGGTGGGGAGGAAAAAAACTAAGTGCACCAGAAAGGGAAAAGGAAAGGGGGGAAGCAAAGGCTCGGAAATTTTAAAGGGAGATTAATGAAGACCCAGAAACGAGTATGCACAGAAAAGGGGTGGGGGCCCACAGCGAAAAGTCGAAAATGACTTGCATCAAAAGAAAAGGGTTCTGGGCCAAAACTGTTTCTTTGGGCCACTTTTGGGGGGAAAGGAAACCCAGTCAAAGCCCAAAGGGTAAATCATTTTGAGGAAAAAAAGGTGGGGAACAAACAAAAAAACGTTTCAGGGTATGTGAGGATTTCCAGCACGAGATTTTGGGGGAAGTATTTAAAACAAGGCCTCGGGAAAGACAGAAAAAAGGGGGAACCCCAAAAAAGTGTCTTTATGACATACCAACAACTGGGAGAAGGTGAAAAAAGGTTCTAAGGGCCCTTGATACCTCCAGGTAGTGGGACGGGGCCCAACATTCCCTGTGGGTCCTTAGAGAGGGAGCAGAAATGCGGTGTGCCACTAACCACAATTTCAAAAACACCCCTTGAAAAAAGAGGCACAATACTATAGACCATGTCACTGTGTGTATGTATGAAAAAGTCATGAAAAAAGATTATCGGGAGGAGAGTGGGGGGAAAGCCCCTGGGCGGAACAAAAATTAAAAACCGCCAACCAGACGGATTCATGGAAGGAAAAATTCTGTGTCAAACCTTCTGGAGTTTTATGAAAAAAGTAACAGAAGAAAAGGCCCGAGAGGAGGGGTGGGTTGATTGCATTTTCTTGGGTTTCAAAAAGGGCCCTTCGACACAGTTCCTCACAAAAGATTGGTAACAGCTAGGGGGATAAAGCACGTTTTTAAAAACGGGAAAGGGGCCCTTTTCCCAATGGATCGAGAATCCCCTGACAGGGAGGCAAAAAGCGGTCTGGTTGTGATGGGGGTATCACAGGGGGGCCCCTGTGACGAGATAGGGGCCCCAAAAACGGGGGGGGCCCTAGGAAAGTGCTATTTCGGGTTATATGTAAATGACATGAGGGAAAAAGGGTTGGGCTCAAAAAGTGTCCTTGTTTGCAAAATGATGAAAAGGGATAATGGGAGAATTAAATGAGATGGGGAATCGGGGTGGGAAATTTTAAAAAGGACCTGGACAGGGTGAACCCCAGTCCAGAAAACCGGCTTCTCGAATTTAACGGGCCCGTTGCAAAGTCCGAAGATCGGGGAAAAGGGCAAAAAAGCCCGCAGCCCGGATTTATGGGTAGGGGGAAAAGGCCTGAAAAACCTCGCTCAAGGCGAAAAATTTCAGGGTGAGTTTAACCCAAAAGCACGCCCCTCCGGAATAAACCATAAACCAGATCCCTGTGCGATATGGACCCCTGAAAAACCTGAGAATAGCGTTCCGATACCTAAGTAAGGAATCCTTCAAACACGGAAAACCCCGTGTAGTCACCCCAAACTGGAGAATGCGACCTTTTTCAAAACCCCCCTTTGATCAAGCATGTC